TTTCTTATGAGGTGTTGGTTGATGATGAACAAAGGGAAACTCTTGGCCTGGGTTTCGTGACACATGTACTTATCGACGAGGTATCCAAATAGTTTTGAGGAGTGTAATGGTACATATCACATTGACCATTTAAAGAAGTTTCGTTACTAAGTGGGTGTCATTCGTCTAAGTTCAGATGTACTATAGCACTCGGTTTTACTTCGTCTAATGTTATAACGGTTGGGTTTCCACATTTACACATATGGGAAGTTAATTTATCTTAAACGAATATCTACACTAGATCCCAGTGTCTATTCTACAGGACGTCAACATAACTCAGATCAAGAACACGTGATTAGCCTGACCACAACGGTAATATATTTCCACACCAAAAACCCGACATAATCTAACAACAATGAACAATCAATAATAAGTGAGTCGTAATAATAATAAGGATAAGGGAATATATAACTCATTTGACACCTATCAGACTATCTACAAGTTTGACTAAGCAGACAACCAATCATTATCATTCTCGCCCACACATCAAGATGCTGTTAAACATCGAGAATAAGTGAACAGTTATTTTTCCATAATCTGAAAATCCTCAAAAGTTCACTCGGAAGACCCCTCCAGGGATCGATTCCAGGCTCTCAAATTTGGCGCAGAACAAATAATAATTTGGATGACTGGGTCGACATACAGTAGTGCAATTTCAACCTTAGTGATTTTAAGATATGGTGTGACGATCATCCGGTCTAACTAGTGGCAACTGTTTCACTCCCAGCATGACTGATTCCCTACAGTCGCAATTCGTAATTAGAGTTTTAAGATCATTTCAAAGTAAACCACTTACCAGATGATTATTATAGTTTGGTTAAAATAGTGTTTAGGGAAATGATTTGAGTTGAATTTGTCAGGAACCGATCTTATTTGAAGCAACCAATAAACATTGATGTTGTATCCCAATAAGAATATTGAATGGTAATTCTTGGGATCCAATTATGGACCGATATTATGAGTATATTTTTACCGTATAATTGTCACGTAACTAGTCTGTTCATATCCATGTCCCTCTTATTATGAGTTTCATTTCGACCTATGAACTATCATTGTACGATTTACCATTCTTGAGTTATGCCCTATCTATTGATTCCTATCTCCCTCATTCACAGCCACATCTGGCTAATTATTGTACGAATGTTGTTTCATATTTTATTGGTACGTTGTGGTCTGTTTGATCGGTATATAAACCGAGTGTGTTTGAAATATAATGATTCATATCTCCGAGGCTGAGACTTGTGTTCTGGACTCAATTGGCTGGGCTAGACAGGGAAGCAGGACCAATCAGAGCTCTAGGCTGCTCGCAAGTATTTTGTGCGTCACTGTTTCGATCGATAATAGGCTGCTCTCTAGTAGGCGGATCACACGTTATAACAATTGGCGACGGGGTAGAAAAAAATTTCTGAACCCTCAATCTTCAACGTTGACCTGTAATTGGACGAGATTCAGTCTAATTATTTCGAGCAATCAGCATTCAGTTTTGTCATCGGCGTCCTTGAAAGACATTGGTCGTTAATTAATCATACAACATTTCTCATCACCGTGCTGATTCAGGAAATGGCTATCTGTCCCGATCAATTACAATTGCTATTTGAGCGACAAACGCAGCGGTTCAAAAATAGCCAGCTGAATGTTTTAGACAATTTACGTACACGGCTGCTAAATCATCCATGTTTTGGAGATGTTACAGAAGTTGATAAATTAATTTCTAACTTGCATACGGAGCTGGAAACGGAATGCAGTACATATGAATGTGCTGATAAAAGCCTCTATGAATCCTTGATGAGCAGTAATGTAAGTGAAACAGTCATTCACGATGCGCCCAGTGATCCAGTAATGTCCATTTCAGAGACATGCCCTGTCGTGGGTTCAAATCCCACTGCCCTTGAAGCACCATGTACAAACAGCTCGCAGAAAGTCGACGTCTTATTAAACGCTCATGAAATTCCTGCAGTACCCGCTCACGAAGAGACAGAAATTGAGTCAAGCATCATAATGACGACAGTTGCATCAAATAGAGTTCATCATTCCAGAACAAAAGTTCCTGATGAATCTACTCATTGGAGTTTTCTAGTTTTATCAAATATGAATTATCTCAATGACTCCTATGCTTTTGATGAAATTTACAAAATTGAGAAAAATTTGTCCAGTGCATCAAACGATGATTATTCTAGTGATCGACTATCTACTGATGAGCTTCTCCAGAAATCCGATGACAATGTTCCAGAAGAATCAAACTTTGATGACTTCATATCAAGCGACGTTGATCCTCACCATTTAATCAACTTTAGAAAATTTTCTGCTCAATGTGACAAATACTATTTAAATAAAGTCAAATTAATGGTAGCTTGGGTATATGAGGATCCAACACTGTTTCGTGGGGGAGGATGAACTCGGAAAATTTAAAATCCGGATATCGACTCCGGATCTCTTTCAAAAAGGGGAGGTGTTGTATCCCAATAAGAATATTGAATGGTAATTCTTGGGATCCAATTATGGACCGATATTATGAGTATATTTTTACCGTATAATTGTCACGTAACTAGTCTGTTCATATCCATGTCCCTCTTATTATGAGTTTCATTTCGACCTATGAACTATCATTGTACGATTTACCATTCTTGAGTTATGCCCTATCTATTGATTCCTATCTCCCTCATTCACAGCCACATCTGGCTAATTATTGTACGAATGTTGTTTCATATTTTATTGGTACGTTGTGGTCTGTTTGATCGGTATATAAACCGAGTGTGTTTGAAATATAATGATTCATATCTCCGAGGCTGAGACTTGTGTTCTGGACTCAATTGGCTGGGCTAGACAGGGAAGCAGGACCAATCAGAGCTCTAGGCTGCTCGCAAGTATTTTGTGCGTCACTGTTTCGATCGATAATAGGCTGCTCTCTAATAGGCGGATCACACGTTATAACAATTGAACAACTGTTTAATCATGAGACCAGTCTTTGAGGAATACAATCTACAAATTAAAATAATCGTCAAAAATCTCTCATGATCTTAATCATTGAAATTACTACAATCTCCACAAAACCCCTTCTGATATTAATCAACATATGCTCACTAGTGACTGGCTTCAGGAGGTATATCCTGGAGTTCTAGTGAGAAGTAGTGACCAGTGGAGTTCAACCAGGTCTGTTGTGGGATAGTAACTCACTGAAGACAATGGTGGATATGTCGCTCAATTTCGTGGATTAGTTGAAATTAGACATTAACATCGTTGGATGCAGGCTCAGTGGTCTAGTGGTTAAGTGCTCGCGCGCGAAACCAGTAGGTCGTGGGTTCGAATCTCGCAGAGGGCGAGGTCGTGGATGCGCACTGCTGAGGAGTCCCATAATAGGACGAAATGGCCGTCCAATGCTTCCAGGTTTTCCATGGTGGTCTAGCTTCAACTGACTCATGATCTTAATGATTGAAATTACTACAATCTCCACAAAACCCCTTCTGATAAAAATCTCTTTACTTAGTTCGTTCCAATCAATTTACATTTCATTATAATCATGAACAGATCAATATTACAAAGCTATTTAAAATCTCGAAGCACTAAATGGTCATCTTATCCTATTTTAAGTCTTCCTTACAATATTCATCCACGATTCTGTACCCAGAAATCGAACCTAGGACCTTCAATTTTACGTGAATCGCTTAACTACTAGACCATTATGCCAGACCATTGTCTAACTTCAACCATTTTCCATTATTTCGGTTTGTAACTACTTTACACCTAACATGGCCGATCTCAAATAGTTAAGGCTTTCTATCAGAAAGTGGATACATACTGTTGAAATGTAGCCTATTAGAACAAAACATCCATTTAGTGCTATCATGTTTTAACAGATTATTCATTGTTATTACTAGGAGAAGAAAAGAAGCAAATGACTAAGATTATGGAATTTAATCTAATTTCTGGAAGTTGATGACTACAAACAAAGAGGATAAAATATGTATTTATTTTCATTTTACACATTTCATTTACTAATCAATAGAAAAATAACAAACTATCTAGTGTATCAACACAACATTGTTTTTTCTTTTTTCTTTTTTTTTTTGCTTTTCTTTTTTCATTTTTTGTTTCTTACAAAGAAACTGGATGATTATCATTTAGTGTTCTATTGTGAATTATATTCATCATAGTGGATATATGATGAATAATTGGATGCATGAATCAATTGGATCTAGAACACCATGGACAATGTGAAAGTACTAAACAACAGTCTCATCTTAATATGCTACATTTCAACAATGTGCAATCACATTCTGTTAGAAAGCTTTAACTAGTTTAGTTGAATTCAGTTGTGTTAGGTGTAAGGCAGTTGTTAACCTAAGTAATGGAAAATGGTTGAAGTTAGACATGGTTCAGCTTAATAGTTTAGTAATTAAACGTTCACTTGAAACTGAAAGTTGTAGATTTAGTTTCTGTGTACAGAATCATGGATGCACACCGTAAGAAACTCTCAAAATAGGACAACATGGTCATATAGTGCTTCCAGGATTTATCAGTCTCATTTTCAAATGCTTAATCTCTAGACCACTGAACCAACCGGTAACCAACATTGTTAATGTTTATCTTCAACTAATCCACGAAATTGAGTGACATGTTCACCATTGTCATTAGTGAGTTACCATTTCATAATATACCCAGTTGAAATTTACTGATCACGATTTCTCACTAGAACTGCAAGAAATAACTCTTGAAAACCGTCACTAGTGAGCATATAATGATCATAACCAGAGAAGGGTTTTGTGGAGATTATAGTACATTAGTAGTTGAATTCATGAGTCAATTGAAGATAAACCATCATGAAATGCCTGGAAGGACTAGACGGTTCTTTCATCCAGTACATAGAATATATATCATGTATATCATGTTTCAACCAATCACAATCGCGTGACCTTGTCGTATTGTTAAAACTAGATGCATTAGTCATAAGATTGGAATGTTCATTCTCTCTCTCTCTCTCTCTCTACAAATATATATATATATACGTGTATTGATGGATAGACAGACAGCCCCCCTCCAACTAAAGACAGATGGATAGATAAACTGATCAACTTTATTTTGATTGGTTATTTAAAAATTTTTTTTTATTGTTGTCGTTGTTGTTACCTGTCAATAATGTGAACGAACCACCGGTTTATATTCTTTTTTATTTATTTACTTATTTATTTATTTATTCTTTATTTCTTTCTTCATTAATATTATCATCATGAGAAAAATGTTACATCATTATAAATGAATCAAATAATGGAACCATTTGGGTATATCATTTTTGTTTTTTGTTTTTTTTTTTGGGTTTTAATTTATCATTCATTGATATAGATCATGAATAATTGATAAGAAATGAGATTTTTTTTGTTGTTGCTATTTTGTTTTTGGTGAAAAATCCAACCCGCCCTCCCCCTAGTTACTATTAGTTTCTATCCTCATATAAATTTTGAATCAAATTATGAGTACATTGATTCATATTGAAAAATATTTAATTTCATTCATTTTATATATTAAATTCTATGGAATTATGATTATTTATGGTGAAATTATAAAATCAAATATTATATTATATAATCATACTCAAAACAATCTATCTACTATTTATACTACTCATAATCATAAATCAATAAATGAATCTTTCATATTACATCCATTCAATATAAACTTAAATGATAATCATAAGAATGATGAACATTATAATGAACAATGGTATTTTTATTTTAATATGTTTATTATTATATTTTTAGCATTTAGTTCATTTTGTGTAAATATTGGTTTATTATATTTAGATAGACGAGCTAAACCATCATGTACAACAAATAATTCAAGTTTTTCTAATAATTTCATAACAATTACTACTACTACTACTAATAATAATAATAACAGTAGTACTAATCTTCCTATGCATAATATCAATAGTAATAATAATAATAATAATAATAATAATAATAATAATAATAATAATCTACAATGTTCAACATTCAATCTTCTATTAAAAAAATGGTCACATAAAAGAAATTCTCGTGGATCTAATAGTTTATTATCTAATCAATCATCAATATTTACACTACCAAATGAGACTATGAATAAAATGACTATTCCAACTACAACAACAACACCACCACCACCAACAACAACAATAACAACACCAACACCAATAACAACAACAACAACAACAACACGTTCATATTCTATATCAAATCCTCCATTAAATAAATATCCATCATCAATTAGTTTAATAAAATTTAATCAAATGAATTCATTTTATCATCATCATCATCATCATGGTTCAATACAATATCATACACCACGTAGTCGACGACAACGTCGTTATTTAAGAGGTTTACTTGGTTTATCTATTAGTAATTTAAGTTTATCTATATGTTTACTTAGTTGGTGTATATGTCAAATTATTATATATAATATTAATGAACAATATTATATATTAAATGCATGGTTAACAATTATATCATTAATTCATATATGGACAATAGATATTGCACAAACAATAGAAATTGGTGCTATTTTATGGATTGCATTAGAACGTACACTTGGTATACATTGGCCTAGTGAAATACAAACTATGCATAATAATAATAATAATAACAATAAAACAAACCCTTCAATGAAATGTAATCAATTACCATGTAAATTTTCATTATTAAAAAATATTTTTAAAAAATGTACATTACATAATCATTTTAATTGTTCTTCTTCTTCTTCTACTACTACTACTACTACTTCTCGTTGTTGTTGTACACCTTTATTCATTTTAAAAGATACATCAAAAATCAAAATGAATCAATCATCATCATCATCACCAGCAGCCTTAGCAACAACATCCTCCTCAGCAACAACAACAACAACAACAACAATAACAAATAAAAAATATCGTGAAAAACAAAAATCAATAATTTGGTTGATTCGTGTTATTTTATGTTTATTACCATTAATATTATTTATTTTAGCATCCATTTATAGTTTTATTAATATGATACAACAAATTAAAAAACATAAATTATTATATCATCAACAAATACAACATCCAGAACAGCATCAACATCAACATCAGCACCAGCATCACCATCAGTACCACCACCACCACCACCACCACCAACAACAACAACAACAACAACAATATCAAATTGATATTATATCAAAACTTAAAACTACTTATATTCCACATAATAGTAGTATAAGTAATGATGATAATCATAATAATAATAGTAGTAGTAGTAGTTATATACAATATTTTAATTCTTTAATAGTATATAATTATTATTATTATTATATATATATTACTAATCATTTCTTTACTAAAAAGCATACATTATTATCATTACATAAAATACATATTAAATATCAAACATATATGTATTATACAAAATCTATTGTACCAGCATTAATTATTGGACAATTTTTAGCACCATTAGTCATTTTAATTACAACAAATTTATTGATTTATCAAAAAGTAAGTTATTTAACTTTTATATTGAACTATTTTAAAATAGATGTAACTGTCTTAGTGCAGTTCGAATGCTATCGAACAAGTTGTAATGTGGTCACTTAATCTAGATGATTCAATGTTGCATGCTCTATGTTAAGATTAGATAGTGATTGGAGGTAGTCAACAAGAAACCTTAGACATGGGTTTTATGCTATTTGACAGTCGTTAGTAAGGTATACCTGTAATATTGAGAGAACTCACGCTCCCTGACGGATTCGATCCTGGGTTGGTCAATATTATTCGATCTGCACTAAGAAGGACTTGATAAACATGATATTGATCACCACATAGTAATCAATTAATTGTGAATACATCTCAGTCCTATAACAGATTGGTCACGGCTCGGATAGCTGAGTGGTAACGTCTCTGACTGTGAAGCTGAGTGACACGGGATCAGATCCGTCAGGAAGTACCAGTTCCCTCGATATTACAGGTATACCTTACTGAAAAGTGCCAAAGAGAACGAAACCCGGGTTCAGGGTTTCTTTTTGACTAACTCCAACCCCTATTCACTTGTTGTTTTACTTGTATCTTCCCATTGTTGTTATTTAGGACTGTAATTGATCCGTCTCATATTGGCAATATATGTGCCTCGTATGCGGATTGCCTCTATATAACCCTAAGTCATAAGCTTTTTAAGAAGTGATGAATAATGGCTAGCAGTGGAATCCAGGACGGAGTGAAGATCAACAAGTTTGGGATGCAGGTATATTCGGCTGACGAGTCCCGAATAGGACGAAACGCTCGTCACAGTTTCACACAATAGTTATAATTAGTAGTTTTTGAAATTGACATTTGAGTGATATTATCTTACTTTATCTGTTCTTGTATTTTCAGTTAGATTATTTGAGATATCGACTAATTCTTTATGAATTATATCATCTATGTTAAATTATAATTACTATCATTGATACTAAATCTATCAATCTGGGATTTGTCTTGATAATTTCACCTTATTTAGATGACCGATATTGTGTGACTACTCTAATTGATACACAAATGAACCGGGTTTTATTCTGGTTAATGATTAACTGGTTAAAACTAATTTTCCACGATTTTTATGAGAATGGGGGTTTTTCGAGATTGTAGTAAGTGAATAGTTGAATTCATGGGCCGATTAAATTTAGATCATCACGGAAAATCTGGAAGTACTGAACAGCTGTTTCGTCGTATTGTGGGACTCCTCAACAGTGCTCATCCACTATTCCGATCACGGGATTCGAACCCAGAACCTCCGGTCTCGCGCGCTAATGCTTAGCCAGTGGAGATCAACCGTATCTGTTATGAGGCAGTGACTCACTGTAGACAATAATAGACGGTGGTGAAATTTTATGAATTAGTTAAAGTTAGAGATTAACACCGTTGAACGCCGACTGGCTCAGTGGTCTAGAGGTTAAGAGTTCGCAAACGATACTAAATATCCTGGGTTTGAGTCTCGCGTGTTGGATCGTGGATGCTCACTGTTGAGAAGACTTATGGAGGACGAAGCGGCCGCTTGATGTTTCCAGATATTCCGTGGTGGTCTAGTTTTAATCGACAAATGTTTTTTGTTATTTCCAATTAGAAATGATATACTTGTTGAGAGAAAAAAGCTATAAATTATAACACGTTTACGGTGGTTTTTCACTGACTGCTAATTGATCCTTTCTGAGTATTTAAATCTAATTCAGGTTGCTTTGATTCAACCATTTTGTTACTGTGGACTTGGACTTGATATTTATAATATCATGTTTTGATAATTTCAAATACTTATCATTAGGGGGGGGGTGGTTGTGAAGATCTTAGTCATTGAATAGTTGAATTTATGAATTAATGAAAGATAGACCATTATAGAAAATCTCAGAACGACAATCCTGTGCTTCCAGGTTTTCCATGATGATCTAGCTTTAATTGACTTATGAATTTAACTATTAAATTTTAAATAAATTAAACATTGAGTGGATTGTATATCATAAAAACACTATTATAATTGTAATATTCTAATGGTTGGGAAAATTGAATTTTTAATGTTTTGACGCTTGATATAAGTTGTTTCTTCAGAGAATAAATGACTGGTTTGTATTGAACTGATCTATCGATGAGATAGATCTGAACTCATCAAGGAATTCATACTTCTCAAGTGTGAGATACGAACTCATAGAGACTATAATTCATGAACGAACTAATCACGTATAAGATAACAAGTCTCGGATTTTGGCTCGAAATTCACCCATCCGATTAGCTAAATATAATTTATTTATTTGTTATTTATTTTAATACATAAATATTGGTACAGGGAGACACCAAATGCATATGCGCCACACAAATCTCAATTGATTTGTGTGAGGGCTGTGATACTGCCCGGGTGCCCAAACCGAAGCAGGTGGTTTTCTTAGGGGACCACACCCGGAGCCTTTGACCTGAAGATCTGATCCACAAGGCAGTAGAGCATCGTAAGGAGATGCAGTCCCATGGTAGCCGATGACCAAGGATTGGTTCATACGCCATTTGTTCTCACAGGGATCCTGGAGCCTATGTGCACCATTGATTTGGGATCCGGTTAAAGCGCCGGACATTCGCCTTTCGTCCTCTCATTTTCGTAAAAAACACTCGTAGTGCGAGAAGGCAGTGAGTAGGACTTCCTTGGCAGAGGCTGTATACGCGTGGCCATGTAAGAGCATTTCGAGAGGGAGAGCGGACTCTCCCCACTCTCGGCCGTACCAAGGCATTTGGGGGCAAAATATAGTTATTATTATTATTATTTTTAACCCTAACAATAAACTGTGAATCATAATTCTAATTCCTCACGCTGGTTTATAACCCTCATTTGGTCCTAGTTATTAGGTGAACACTCTCAATGCCAATTTAGCGTCGCTCAAAGGTCTCATCTTCAAATCCTTATCATTTACTGACATATTTAGAGATTATATTATTAATCATACCTTCAATCTAATCAACTGTAGTATGTTTAGTGAGAAAAGGTGGAAGTATGTAAACTATTGATTATGGAGGGTTAATTAAACGCGTAGTGTGCTCACAGAAATAGGTACATCATTAATTTTGAATCGTTTCCATATTAGACATTGACCGTCGAGACTATAATTTATGGACAAACCAATCAGATTTACAATAACGGGTCTCGGATTTTGACTTGAAATTCACCCATCCATTTGGCTAAATAGAGTTTTGGCATTATAGCTAATGTCAGTTCGTGATGTAAACTCTATATCTAATTACTAATCCTATTAACCACCAAGTGTAAATCATAATCCTTATTCTTCAAACTGCTTTATAACCCACACTTAACCCTAGTAAATCGGTAGACACTCTCAAAGTCACTTGAGCGTCACTTAAAGTTCATCCATAAATTTTAGTCTCATCCATTGACCTTTTAAAGAATTTGGAAAATTATTATTATCAGAAGGGCGTTTTGTGGAGATTTTAGTAATTTCAATTGTTGAGATCATGAGTCAATTGAAGCTAGACCACCATAGAAAATCTAGACGTACTAGATAGCCGTTTCGTCCTATTGTGGGACTCCTCATCGGTGCGCATCCACGATCCCGCCGCGCGGGATTCGAATGTTATATTCTACGGCTTAATTATGAGATGAAAAGTTAATTCAATAAATGAATCTACATTTGAGACAATCATTATACATGATATAATCATTGAGATGATGCAATCAAATTGTTTTGGAAAATCATTATTAGTCATTTCATTAAATGAGTACGATTTTTGACATTATTATTAGGACCAGACACATATGTGCATAGGTCCAAGTTGCCATACCTCATTAACACAGCAAGATGAACACCGGATTCATACAAGTAGTTAATTCAGTGGTGGTAATATATAAAGGAAAGATTTTACGTAAGGATATAGTACAGGAAGAAAGAATTGGTTGGTAGAAAGAAAAATATGAAGCGATTTTGATCTTATAATATGAAGGAAGATAGACAGTGTATACACCGACGCCATTGTGATCGATTCTGAGCCATGTCACCAAGAGTTGCAAACCATTGATTATGATAGTCACGCGGATCCCAACCTAGTAGTCTGCATCAACCAACATGGCTCAGACTAGAAGTTAGTAAATTCAATGACTGATGCCACGTTTTAATTTGTCCGCCCCTAACTTTCTTCCAACCATCCCCAACACTAATCAGCATTGCGCTCAATGGTAATCGGTGTTCAAGCATACGTAACACGTGGCTCAACCATCTCAGTTGATGAAGATTCACAACCTCATCAATTGATTTACCATCATTCCGTAATACCTTGTGTTTAACCGCACCAATACTTATCCGGTAATCCCAGCAGACGCGAGCAATATTTCTAAGACATCTGTCATCAAATACGAGACTATTCCGAGTATCTTCTACCCTTAATGGCCACGTTTCACATTCGTAAAGCAAAACAGAATGAACTGATGTGCAGTATACTCGTCCCTTAATTGATAGATGGATATTTCTCCTTTGCTATAGGTGACGTATGTTGGCAAAAGCCAAACGAGCTTTTTGAATCCATGATGAGATTTCGTCAGACAGCAATCCATTAGGGCTTATCAGACTTCCAATGTAAGTGAAGTTGTCGACGCGGTCGACTACTAATATATGACAGAAATACCCGATTTACTAATATTGAAAAATATAATTGTATTGATTTACAGTTCTCAATTTGTTGATAGCTAGTGTTTTTTATTTACTAAATACGTAGCTTTAAGACACTATGTAAGTGTTAATACTACTAACAAGTTCATCAAACTGAAATAGACATATAGTAGGATTCGGACTAAAAATGAGACATCCTTCTATCAATTAAGGGACGAGTATACTGCACACCAGTTCATTCTGTTTTGCTTTACGAATGTGAAACGTAACCATTAAGTGTAGAAGATACTCGTACGCTACTAGTAGTTGATCACAGATGTCTTAGAAATATTGCTCTCATCTGCTGGGATCACCGGAATAAGTAATAGCGAG